AATACATGTTTGTTTCATTCTCTTCTTGTCCTTACAAAGGTAATTCAGACCTAAAACCTAGAAGTCAGTATTTATTTAGATATGTGCTGTTCAAGTATACTCAGTCTTTGATCCTGGAAGTCATTAAGAGCAAAGATCACTATTGTAATTTAAAATTTAAGGAAATAACACAAAAGACATTAGGAGATATGCTTGTGTGCTGGTATATGGTTACAGAACTGAATCTTGAACCCAAGTATTTAGTTTCTAAATAATTATATCATTTGTAGTATATTGTCATATCTTTCTATAACCTTTATTATCTTCCATTACTATAAATGGATGATAACTTAAAATTAATAATTTTACATGCTATGTGACTAGTAATAACCAACCATCCAGAAAACATGTTTAATCTTTTCTGGGTCTATTATGCATCTTGAAAATATCTCCACTTATGTGAATTTTTTATTCTAAAAAATAATTCAGAAGTAATATAATTATAAGATGAAAGATGTTAGAATAGAAATAATCCATAGAGAATGTCTAGACCAACATTTCATTGTACAGATGGAGAAGTCGGGATCCAGCACCAGTGACCATCTTGTGAAGGATGTTCCAGTCAATTAATAGCTGAAGTAAGATAGAACATGCACTAATTTACTTTTAATTAAGCATTCCCTCCTTCATTGTCCTCTAATATATGAATTCTGTCAACAATTAACAATGGTATAGTCCTGGGGAAACTGCATAAAACAAAGCAAAGAGACATGTCTCCACGTATCACCTATCTATCTGCTCAAAAATGAACATGTTTCCTACATACGATCTGTTACACAATGGGTATGATTCATTAATTGGGATCTTACAAATCAAACCAAAAACAAGAATTTGTGTATATGTATTTATTTGGGAGGGTGATTTTCAAAGCCTAAAGAAGGAGAGAAAGACTTTAAGAGATGTGTCAATATACAGTTTGCAACTGTGAGTTATAAAGTCTCAGTTAATTAAGCTGGTCTGGGAAACCATATAGAGTACTGCTTGGCATCATCCCAGAGATGGCACAGAAGCTGGGGACTTTACACAGTATTTCTCCTGGCTTAGATTCCAAATATTCCTCTTCAGTGTCTATTTCTTGACACTTTAGAGCTGTCCCATGTTTTGCCTCAGCATGTCCTTGCAATGAAGGAAAACCCAGAGGCAAAAAACAAACATTCAGGTGCTTAAGATTGAAATCTACCATGGAATCTATCATTTATCTATCTATTTATCTATCTATCTATCTATCTATCTATCTATCTATCTATCTATCTACCTTCCTCCTATCTTCTATCTATCATCTATCTATCTTATCTATCTATCTATCTATCATCTATCTATCTATGATCTATCTATCATCTACCTATCTATCTGTCATCTATCTATCTACACCTATCCTCTATCAATCAATCTATCATCTATCTATCATCTATCTATCTATCTATCATCTATCATCTATCTATCTATCATCTATCTATCTATATCTATCTATGTATCTATCTATCTATCTATCTATCATCTATCTATCTATGATCTATCTATGATCTATCTATCTGTTATCTATCTATCTATACCTATCTCTATCTATCATCTATCTATCTATCTATCATCTATCTATCATCTATCTATCTATCTATTCTATCTATCCATCCATTAATCCTTCCATCCATCCATCATCAATCTATCTATCTATCTATCTATCTCTGTATCTATCTATCTATCTATCTATCTATCTATCTATGTATCTATCTATCTATCTATCTATCTATCTGTCATCTGTCTATCTATACCTATCTCTATCTATCATCTATCATCTATCATCTATCTGTCTGTTTTCATCATCATCATCATCATCATCATCATCATCATCTATCTGTATCTAATTTTTTTCATATGACCAAGAACATTTCTTAATTTGCCAAGTTAAGGCTACATAGTGATAATATCAGCTTTGATAAGATACATCTATGTTCTTAGAGAAGCTTACATTTATAAGACTGTAATGTATATCAAATTTTGCAGTAATGGTTTCTTAGGATCCACTTTGTAAGACCTGAACCTAAAGCTTAATTTTTTTCTTATTTGCTCACATGTCGTTCAGATTCTAGTATGTAACAAAGTACCTGGGAGAAATCAATCTAAAGGAGAAAATGTTTGTTTTGTCTCATGGTTTTAGAATTTCCAGTGTAGGGTCCCCTTGCTGTACTCCCTCTGTGCTTAGGTGAACAACACCATGGCCTTCAGCACACAGGCACGTTACTTGACAGGTCAGTATCCCAACATATAGGGTCTAGCACTGGGTAAAACAATTGCTGTGCTTTCTCCAAGGAAGGCTGCAAACTACCTTCTGTCACAATGAAAGCTGACCAGAAAGAAGGAAATTTCCTGGTCCGAGTGAGTTTGGACTCTATATGTCTTCCAGTCAAATTTTGCAGTGTCCTTAGCAGTAGGGCCTTACCATGTAATTATGAAGGGTAACCAAAGGAAATGACAAAAGCCTATGTGTTTTGGAGACCTCTAGAGCTACCTTGATCAATAAGTAGAGCAAAAGCAACATTTCTACCCTTGCAGGATGATTGCATTTGAACTCTTTTGCTTTTAAAGTTGCGTGTTGATACTAGCTCACTAACTAATGAGTTTCCATAAAGTTTCCTCATACATCCTTGGTTTTGGTTAGCCTAACTACTATACTGGGGATTAATGAATCTTCTGCCCATTTTCAATAGACCCGATCAATAAGTAGAGCAAAAGCAACATTTCTACCCTTGCAGGATGATTGCATTTGAACTCTTTTGCTTTTAAAGTTGCGTGTTGATACTAGCTCACTAACTAATGAGTTTCCATAAAGTTTCCTCATACATCCTTGGTTTTGGTTAGCCTAACTACTATACTGGGGATTAATGAATCTTCTGCCCATTTTCAATAGACCCATTTAAATCCTTTTTGAATTTTAGAGATTTTTAATATAATTTATTTTAAAATTTATTTCTATTTTAATGTGTATGAGTGTTATGCCTACATGTATGTAAGAGTGCCCATGCCATAAAGTGATTGCAGAGGACAGAAGGGGCATCAGATTTCCTGGAACTGGAGTTACAGAAAGTTGTTAGCTGCCATGTGGGTGCTGGGATTTCTACCAGGGTCCTCTGAAAGGGTAGACAGTGCTCTTAACCACTGAGCCATTTCTACAGCCTCTAATATATTCTTGATAAAATAACTTATAATACATTTGATTTCTGTATATTTTCTCATCCTAGTATTTTCATTCTCTTAATATTATCTTTTGAAGATAAGGCACTTATATGTTTAATGAACTTCCAATTTATCATTTTAAAAATTAAAAATATTTTATTACACTTATTTTATGTGTACTAACTGTACTTATGTAAGTACACCTGTGTTGTGCAATGGCTGTAGAGGCCAGAGGAGGTCATTGGATACCCTGGAACTGGAGTCACAGACAGTTGTAAGCCACCATGTAGGTGCTGGGAATCAAACCTGGGTCCTCTGCAAGAGCAGCCAGTGCTTTTAACCGTTGAGCCATCTCTCCAACCCCAAATTTATCTTTTAAAAAATTTACGGAGCATGTTTTGTGTAATATGTCTATAATCTTTACTTAATCTGTAGCTGCAAGGAACTTATGATTTTTGCTTTCAGAAGGATTATCATATAGTTTTACAATTACTATTTAGTTAATTGTTGCACATGTTGCAAGGAGTGGGTAAAAGCTTTTGTATGACATATGTGTAAGGGTAATTTCAGAAATGTTTTTCAAAGACAAGTTCTTAATGAATTGCCATTGCATAATTTAAAAAGTTGCTTATGTATGACTCTAATTTTAGATTCTGTTTTCTGCCTTATTACTTTATCTCTACCACAATTAGAAAATTCATACTTCTCTTTTAAGCTTTCACCTCCTTGCTTCTTGGTCTTTCAATTTCTAGCACTTTCATCCTCTTGTATCATTTCCTCAACACGGAGTTTCTTTGGATTAGGACTGAATTCTTGCTCCCAGCTCATTAATCTGGAAATATTTTTGAAGATATAGCCAGAATAGCAATATGCTAGCTCTTCTCACTTCTTGTATCTCAGGGATCACCATTCTTTCTGTTTCACAAAATTGTCTTTCTAAATATTTTGTTCAGAATGTTTATTTGTTTCAAGTATCAAGGGAAACACGTTGTCTGTGACTCCATCCATCCAGAAGCAAAAGTTACTAGTTTGGAGCTTCAGTGTCCTATGTAATCAGAGATGATGAGCAAGCTTTATAAATTAGTCTAGTGCAGAATCATATAAATATAAACTATTAATTAGTTTATGTATACATACATTTAAAAATGTCATATAAAATTATAGATAATCATAAGTTTAATAAATAATTGTTTAGACTTTGTTAATAACAATTACGTATATGACTGTAGCTACACCATTGGGGTTGTTAGTAAGGACTAAAATATTTAGGCCAAAATAAAGGTCAAGCTGATAGATTTTGATGGTTTTAACAATTTTGTTATGTTGGCAGTTGACTGAACGGTTGAATTTTAAGAAATGAATTGTGCAACTGTCCCCAAATCTTGGCATGGTGAAGTGCTGGTACATCTCACTCACATTTAAAGACCTCAATAGGCGGCAAAGACCTCATAGTTCTTTGGTTACACAACTGTTATTGAATTGTATTTCTCTTCAGTGTGGTAGGAAAATTGAAAAAGTTAGCCAAGGACATGAAAAGTTGAATACTTAAGTGACATAATTGCCAAGTTTCTCTAAGCGCTAATAAAAACTTCTAGATCAGCACAGAGAGAAATTTATCCAGCTCTACCATTTTAAGAAAGGCAGAAACATAAGTTCCTAAATGAAAAAAAAATCATTTATTACAACAATTTTCAATAAATATATTCAAACTTGTTGCTTTTGATTAGAAACACCAACAAAAATATTAATATTTTTTCTACTAAAAATGTCCTAAAAATAAAAGAATATGTATACTTACCTGGCAGGAGAGTAGGAAGGTGGTTTGCCCAAAGCGAGGCTTTTCCATTGCACTTGAGATATGCAGGTCCCTGTGATTTCTCCAAACGCAGGAAACTCAAAACATGATTGCATTGTTTGTGTTGGTTGTGGACACGTTCACATTCTCCCCTCCCCAAAATAAAAAAAAGAATATGTTTTTCTTCATTCATCTGCAGGAACAAAGGTGTAATTCTATCTTGGCATTTTTCTCATTGTTAATATTGGTTTTAATAAAAAATTCTCAAATAAAAAAAGATTAATTTTCTTCCAAGAATTGTGCTAAAATTTTAAAGATATAAATAATTAAGATAATTTCAGAGTTTTAAGAGCTTAGAAAATATGCTTATACTTCCTAAAATCCTTATTCACAGTTTATTCAGCCACTTTTCCTCTAAATCAGTCAAAAAGAAGATAAACAAAATTCATCACATTTTTATGATTTTAGCTTTCTTAAGAACTGTGTAGAAATCATCATCACTTTATTTTCAGAAATGGGATTGGTTTCAGTATTGATAATTGTTTGCTTGTATTTCCTAAGATCTAAGGGAGTAGCATGCATGACTTGATAGACAAACACCTGAATTGAATTCAGAAGGCATTGGTTTTGTCCGAGGGAATGCTTTGGTTAAATGGGCTTACCAAGTACCCTCCAGTCTCAGTTGAACAGTCTCTAGAGCTGCACATTGGATGTGCAACATTCTCAGCATACACATTAATAACAAAGGGACAAAATAATGTATGTGAAAACATTTGTAAATCATCAGTACTTTGAAAAAGTAAAAGATTATGCAATATAGAGATCTCATCCACTGACTCTTGGTTCCCCTGCAGCCTGAGCAGCTCCATTCTCTCCCCACACTCTGTCCACATTCTAGCCTTGGGTTCAGGCCTGCTCCTGCTCTGTCACCTCAGATCTCTGGACTAGCTTCCTAACCCAGAGTAGTTTAATCCTCTGTATAATTACTTAGACCCTCCACAGACTGTTCCCACCCCTACCTTGTCCTTGGCGTCCTGGTCGGCCTGCCTCAGACATACCTACCATCCTGGTAAGTCAGATTCAGCCCACTGTGTCTTGATTTCCTTTGCAGTCTGAAGAACTCTATTCTCTCCCCACATTCTGTGCCCCTTCTAGCCTTGGGCCCAGGCTCACTCCTGCTCTTTCTGCCCCAGATCTCTGAATACACTCTTAGTTCATACCTGCCCACTGTTCCCTGATCTCCTGTACCCAGAATAGGTCAATTTTCCAGCTTCCTTTGTTAGACCCCACATATGCTCTCCCCACCCCCATCTTGCCAATGGCTCCACCTCCTGATCTGCCTACCACAAACCAGCCTACTACCCAGACAAACCTACTATCCTGCAAAACTACTACCCCACACACCAACTAACTTTTCGTATCTGATCAAAAAAGCAACTAAGCTACGTCAGAAATATAAACAGAACCAAACTTCAACTAAACAAATGCAGAATAGAATTTCCTACCAGGCACACAACCAACAAAAGACATCCATATGCCTAAATGGCAAAGCAAAAACACAAATAATATGAAAAATCAAGACAAAACCCACAAGTCCTACAGAAGTATACTATAATGCGAATCACCCTGAGGAACCCCACGATGCAGAATAAAAAAGAACAATCACAAACATGATGAAAGCATTTCAAGAACACACAAACAACTCAGAGAACACAAAGAAGATAGACATAAACCTGTAACAGAAGCTCAAAAATTCATATATGCAGCTGAATGAAATAAGAAAAACAGTTGAGGAATTGAAAAATGGATTCCTCAAAGAGATAGAAATACTGAAGTAAACCCAAGGTGAATGAAGACAGAATTGTAAAACTCAAGAAGTCAATTTTATTTGAAGCGACCAGAGAAAGCCTCACTGTGGGGGTCCTCTCCTGCACACAGCACGATGGGGGCCGAGGAGGGGGAGTGTGCTGCCGTCCCAACCCTCTGTTCCCAAGGAACCACCAAGGAGGCAGGTAGTCTTGTCCAGCAGGAGCTCTTTTATTAAGCTTTAGGCAAGTGTTTATATACATTTGTGAGCACTGAGTGTCCCTTCCTTTACTCCACTCCGGGGTTTGATTGGTCATGACCACAGGACTTAATTAGCATTTTAGGTTTTAATTTCCCAGAGCTGTCAGGTTTCTATCTCTCTAGGGCTAGGTTTTTGTTTCCCAGACTGTTAAGTTTTTATTTTTTATCACCATGCCCATATGGTCTTTAATTTTTTTTGACTGTTGAGTTGTTTTCTATCACCAAGTCCCCACACCTCACAAGAGTGAATGAAATGCAAAACGGAACATCAAGAGCAGACAACAAAGTTGAAGAACTTGCTTCCTCAAGCAAAGACTATAAAAAATTAAAAACATACAAGAATGGAATATACAGGAAATGTAGAAAAACACAAAGAAGACCAAATTTATGCATCATAGGCATATAAGAAGTAAAACAATCTCAGACCAATGACACTAATGATCTTCAACAGGATTATAGAAGAAAATTCCCCTAATTTAAGGAAAGACATCCATAGAGATACAAGAAGCACACAGAACACCAAATAGACAGGACCAGAACAGAAACTATGCATGGCATATCATAGTAAAAACACTAAATGTACAGAACGAAGAGAGGATACTAAAAGCTGTTAGAGAAAAACAAAAACAAAGACAAAAACAAAACAAACAAAAAACCAAGGTTCATATATAAAGGAAAACTCATCAGAATTACAGTGCAAACTACAAAAGTCAGAAGAGCCTGTGCTAAAGTATTCCCAGTTCTAAATGATGATGAATGTAAAATAAGAATACGTTACCCAACATAACTACTTATCATAATCCAAGGAGAACAGAACATTTTTCAGGACATGAATAGGCTGAAAGAATTCATGTCCAACAAACAAGCCATATAGAGAATACTAGAAGCAATATGAAGGACCAAAGATAGGAATGAGTATACTCAAGAAATTGTTGAAAGAAAGCAAAGGAAGATTTAATTATGGAAACACAAAATAGGACCAAGAATAGAAACACATTGAAATGGCAGAAACCAATACACATTTTTCAGTAATAACTCTAAATATCAATGGCCTCAACTCCCTGGTCAAAAGACACAGGCTACTGAAATGGATTAAAAAACAAAATCCAGTGTTTTCTTGTCTTCAAGAAAATCTTCTCACCTCCAAGGATAGGCAATACCTGAGGGTGAAAGAAAAAAAAATAAAGCAAATATAACTAAGAAGTAAACAGGTGTTGCAGTTCTAATATCTGACAAAAGAGCCTTTAAGTTAAAACTAATCAGAAGAGATAAAGAGGGTCACTGCATTCTAATCAAAGGAAAAATTGATCAAGAAGATATCACAATCACTATCATATACACACCAGGTAAAAAGTACGCAGGGGAGCTGGAGAGATTGCTCAGTCACTAAAGTGCTTATCACACAAACACGAGAACCTGAGTTTGTTTCCCAGTACCCTCATAAAAAGTCATATGTGGTGGCCCTTGCCTGTAATTTCAGTTCTGAGGAGGAAGAAGCAGCGATTTGCCTGACCAGTCAGCTTAATCTTACCAGATTTCCATAGAGACCCTATCTCAAAAAACAGAGTAGACAGTTCCTGAAGAAAGACACCCTCTGACCTCCCCAGTCACGTATTCACTTGTACACACACTCATGAACATGCAATTTCAAATGTTTCTACACACATATACACATACACACACACACACATACACATACACACACATACACACACACGTACGCACACAATGGAATTAAATGTAGATTAAACACAGCAGAAAAGGAGAGATTTGAAAACAACAAAAGAAGCTATCCAAGGTGAAAATCAGAAAAGTTAAATATGAAAAATTTAGGAAAGCATCAGCAATTGTAGATCAGTTTCAACTGGGTTAATACATAGAATATGTGGGTTTATGAAAGGAGAAGATACACTTTAAGAATTAGTACCTATAAATTTTCCAACTCTTACTGGAATGCATAAGCTTCCAATACAAGAACTCACAAATCCCAAACACAAGTAGAGGAAGAAATGCAACACAAGGCACAACACAATTACACTCTTAAGAGTTATGCAGAGTGAGGTTGGAATGCTCAAAATAGTTCTGATGTCACCTCTTACACAAACTTATGCATACATCCAAAGAAACCCTTTGTGTGTTAAATTTAAAACACCATGGAAATATAAGATTGCTTAAGGTGACCATAGTAAATTTGAAAAAGAAAAAATCACCTAGTCTCAGATTCATTTTAGTTCTAGAGTGGAAAATACGATGTGAAATTGTTATATTGATAGACTAACAGTTAACAAACAGAATTGAGACTCTACAACTGACAGCAAAAGCAAGTGAAGTGAAAAAAAAAAAAGAACAGACTGAAGGAAATACTTGAAGTGCATGAAGTTAATAATAGACTTGTATCCATGACACATGAAGAACGCAGAAACGGCAGCAAAAAGAACAAAAATGCGAACTTCTCCAGAGGCCTCACATAGTTGATAAAATGTGCATGAAACATTCTCCTTAATATTAGTGAAACACAAATCAAACACACAAAGGTATCTTGATTTGTCTAGTGGAATGTTTACAGTTATTCACGCAAATCAGTGTGAATGCCCGTGCTGGAGAGTTAGGGAAGAACTGGGACTCTAACGCGCTGCTTGCTGGTGGGAAATGGCAACACCTCTTTGAAAATCATACGGCTCTTTCTTACACAATTAAAAAAGACATGATTGATGGTGGTTTGAATCAGGCACCCCCCATAAGTTCTTGGTATTTGAATACCTGACCTGCTTGGTGGTGGTGTCTGTGGAAGTTTAAGAGGTGAGGCCTTTCTGGAGGAAGCGTATCACTGGGGATGGTTTTGAGAGTTCATAACTTTGCCGCACTTGCAGCTCACTCTCTCTGCTTCCTGTTTCTACTAGGAGATGTAAACCCTCAGCTTTCTGTTCTGACCACTGCCCCCACCACACCTAGCCACCAACAATGGATTCTTATTCCTCTGGAACAGTGAACAAATAAACCAAATAAACCTCATCTTTCTATAAGTTCCTTGGTCATGGTGTTCTATTACAGCAACAGAAAAGTGACTAATACATGATTTTATTGTTAC